GAACCATTAATAATTTCTGTAAAATCTAACAGTTTGCTTTATGTAAAATGTGTTTCTGTTCTCCTTCCTGCAGGTTCTCAAAGGAATGCAAATGGCAGCTTAAATGGTGAAGTAAACAGTCCACAAAGCAATGGCCAAAACCTGGAAGCTAAGGTTCTGATGGAGGGACGAGGGTAGATTAAACTTCCAGCTCTTTTAACATTCATGCTGGGATGTTTGCAGGCAGCTACACTGTGTGTGTGCGCGCGCTACTTATCCATGGACCAACTCTCTGCCTTAAAAAAGCTTTACACCATTGGAACTGTAAATCATGCATAGTCTGTTGCACTGCAAGACAAAAGTTTTTGTTTTGTTGGGGGGGGGGTTGTCTGTACAAAAATTATAAAGGAGTCTGGAGGGTTGGTTAAACTAGTGAAGGGGAAACTGAAGTTACAGAAATCTGTTGAAACCAGAAATAAGGTGTTGCTCGTGATCAGCACATTCAACACAATATTCCCTCAGCTTGGAAATTTTAAAACAGTTTCTTGCAAATCGTAGTTTTTAGTAGCAATAAGCACCAGATTCACTCTGACACCTAATTAAAAATGTAAAAATGCAACAATCCAGATAGCAGTGGATCAGAGGTGTAAGCATCACAGCAGATGCCGTTGAGTCAACGTAACTGAGGATAAAACACATACACAAAAAAACAGCCGTCCACAGCACTGAACACAACGGTAAACTGGTGCATAATAAGCAACCGATTATGTTCATATGAATGTTCTTGAAGTACACAGAGAGAGAAAGGGCTGTGCAGGAAGTGTGATTTTTATCCTGGTGAAGCAAAACAGCAAAAGTAACAGCGAATTAATGCCAATATTTATGGATTTGTGAATCGTAGTTTGGATCTTCTTTTGCTGCTGGTTCAGTGAATTTTGGTTGGAGAGTGACAAAGCCTGCAGCTGTAGCTGAGATGTCTGCTCTCAGCACTGACAGCCTGTCTGTGTACAGGTTGGTCGAGTCGTGCTTTGTGTTTACATCTCTGTGGAATCTGTTTATTTGCTCTTTTAGCTGTTTGGTGGATGTTAAAATAGTTTTATGAGCTTTAACCTGAGATTCTGGCTTTTCTGGCAAAATACATTTATATTTAAAAATTGATTCAAGATTTAATGAATCGATTTGAATCTGGAAATTTATTATTGAAACCCAGCCCTAATGCACACCTCCTCTGTTCCTGTTTAAAAGGAAACAAATCACTTTATTTTTTAGAAAGGGTATTAGTAAGCTTGTGTATATAATTCAGTGTGGGGGTTTTGTTGTTGTTGTTGTTGTTGTTGTTGTTTTTGCTTGTTGTTGTTTGTTAAAAGAATTATCAGTATTACTTTTTTAAAAAGTGACTGTGGCTGTTTATGTTTATGTAAATGTTAACTGTTATCTGGCTGTTAATTTTCTTTTGAATGTTTCTACTTATGCTGTTTATATTTTGCAAGCCACTGTGTGATTCTGGATTGGATTTAGATCTGGACTTTGACTGGGCCATTCTAACACATGGATATGTTTTATTTTAAACCATCCCATTGTTGCCCTGGCTTTATGTTTAGGGTCGTTGTCCTGCTGGAAGGTGAAGCTCCGCCCCAGTCTCAAGTCTTTTGCAGACTCCAAGAGGTTTTCTTCCAAGACTGCCCTGTATTTGGCTCCATCCATCTCCCCATCAACTCTGACCAGCTTCCCTGTCCCTGCTGAAGAAAAAGTGCCTTCCTCTCTCCTCTGCTTTCAGAACCAAGTTCAATTTTGCAAAGGACTGCACTGCTGTAGACAATGAACTTCTGAAAAGGTGCTGAGTTAAACTTTTGTAACTTTGTTTTGTTTGTTTGTTCTTTTTAAATTTGCAAAACAACACACTCCTTTAATTACATTTTTTAGTCTTACTCAGGGTCACATGTGAAATTATGCAAGAGGAAAAATGTATATTTTAACTATACTCCATGTGCTACTGGAAGATCTTTGCTGTTATTTTGGGCGTGACTTGGATATCCACTTTAACCTCAGGAGTTTTTATATACAGGAAAATATACACATACATTCATAGGAGATCTTTGTAAACAACAACATTGTCTTTGTCATACTGGTTTTGGTAAATACGTTTCTAGTATTGCCAAATGGGCATTACAATGATGCAGTTTAACATAACAATTTACTAAATCCAAAACCACTTACAGTGTGTGAAAGAAGTTTCACAAAGTTTCATATTTTTAGTGTTTTATACCGGTGAATGAGCTCAAACCAAAAGGATCCAGAAGATTGATCACAGAAAGCTTTACATGACGACTTCCATTTTCCAGTAACTTCCAGTTAAACTTCCAGTTAATGTAGCTAAAAGAGAAACTCAGCGAAGGGAAATGGATTGTATCTCATATCCCCTGAGTTTACCTCAGAGGTCAGAGCGGGAACATCTGAATCTTTTCTATGCAAAAGTAGGACGGACCAAGCTTTACACACACCCAGCAGTTTGGACCAGCTTTGAGATTCTTTTTTTTCCACAAAACCCAAATGATATTCTCTAATGTGTGTTTGGAGGACTGTGATGCTAATGCGTCTGTCTTCAGTTGAGAACAAAGTGAAGAACTTTGACTTTGGCTCTTTTGATTTGATGTCTGAGACACAGGCCAAGTTACTCATCTTTGTACACGAACAATGATAGTTCTCACTGGAAAATATCAGACCTTTAAGGCAGATGAAAGGTAAAGTGACTAAAATGAACTCAGAACTGAAATTTGCATTTTTAAACCAGAAGTGCAATAAGTCGGTACTAAAAATGAGCCATGTCACTGATGTGAAAAAGAAAAGGAAAATTAATCAGTGTGAAAGTTCAAAATCAATTTATTCCACTTTTTCTCACCAGCAGCACTTTATAAAGGGATGAAATTAATATTAAGTTCAGGTTTAGAACTCCAAAAGAGTTTCTCATGTAGCCCCTTAGTAAAATTTGTTGCTCTGCTTTATATTATTTTTGCTCATGTGTGGTGTACAGTGGTGTATTATATTATTTTGGAGAAGCACTGGTTGTTCTGCCTCATTGCCATGTGATGGTATCAGGACTGATTGTTACACCAAATCTGTCCATTCGTTGGAGTTTTAATGCACTGCTTTGTAAAAATGTATTGTTTATTTACAAAAACATCTTTCTGTTGCTGAATGTTGAGCTAGTAAAAATGAATAAGCTGTGATAGATAAGAAGATGAGGTGTCCTCCGAATCACTAATGTTGGGAACGTTGCGCTGAAAACACTTAATATCCTGTTGTTCAAAATAACATGTATGAATATATCACCACCTGTGCTGAGACTGGATTGGTTTGAAAAGAATGTAAAGGCAATATTTCCCTCTTTCTAATTCTAGGTTCAATTTTGGAAGTTAAAGCTTGCCAAGACTTTGTGTAACACTGATCATGATCCTGATGTTTATTTATACACAAAGATTTAACTTTAACCTCCCAGGACCTCGGGTCCACATACTTGGACGTCACATTGTGGGTTGTGTAGACCAGGGGTCTGCAACCTTTAACCCCCAAAGAGCCATTTGGAGCCGGTTTCCACGCAAAAGAAAACACTGGGAGCTGCAAAAACTTTTTGACATCTAAAATGAAGATAACACTGTATGTATAGTTTTTTACCTTTATGCTTTGTGTGGACAAGTAAGGTGTGCTGCTTATCAAATCCTTGAAGTGCTACAGAGAAAATTACATTTTATTTATGTAATGAACACATTTTGAACTCTTAAAGAAATATAACAAAAGCAAAGACACCCAGCTGAACTAAAATGATCCATGTAGCAAACAAACTGTTGTGAGCCGCCACCCTTATCGCCTTTGGGCTTTTGGAGCCTTGACCTGACTTTTAAAAAGTAATTGGAAATAAAGCACTATGCTGCTAAAAAATTAAAAATAGATATTTGCAAAATTCTGCCTAAATATTTTACCTGGTTAATGTGTGTGGCGGGGCGTGGTCTGCGAGAGTCCATGGATGGAAGTTTTGTCCCTACGATTCTCTCCACAGTCATTATGACCCTTTGCAGAGCCTTTCTCTCGGCCTGTGTGGTGTTCCCGTACCAGACAGTGATGCTTGTGGTGAGGATGCTCTCTATCAGTCCTCTGTGGGCCTGGGTGAGAGGGTGATGGTTCAGGCCAGCTTTCCTGAGCAGACTAATGAAATAACTCCCTCCCTGGCATAGCTGGACTGGCCATCGGGGCGATGGGTTTTTTTTCCGTTTATTTTCCGTAACGGTATAAACACTGAAAGGTGGTGGATTGGCCAGATGCTGGCAGATGTGTAAAAATAACTGTTGTTTGGTGGTGGCTATTGCAGAGCTTCCACAGATTCAGTAACATTAGCAAGTGGTGGAGGCCAGCAGATGCAACACGCTGGCAGGTGGATGACGGAAAGGCAGGAGGAGCAGAGACCCGAGGAGGTGAACTGAACCTCGGGTAAGAAGTTATGACCTGCAGTCCATCTGGGTCAGATATAAACCAAGTTTAGGTGGAGTTTATTCTCGTTATCCTGACTTTTTACAGTCATTTACCTTTTCTAGATACTGCACCAGTACTGTGTGTAAAATGCCATCAAAAAGTCAATTAAGTTTTATTCTTTCTCACCTGTCTTTCTGTCTCCTTTCACTTTTTAAAGGTTGCCATGTTAGAAAAAATATTTTGCCCTGCCGTGCTGTTTATTGATGTGGCAAATGAATGGTTTATGAAAATATATCTAAATCTGTCATCAGTGATCAGTAATGATCATGTCTCACCTCTCCTCTGTCTTAATTTCAGGTTTTCACCATGTGTTGTAGATGTTTAGGAGGTTAACTCGACCAACAGTCTACTTTCAGGTACTGTTTAGAACACCAGAACAGGGAGGATGGTGTAGGTTTACGTTTATTAGACTGATACATATATACCAACAAGACAGCATCCATCACTGTGACAACAGCGTTTGTTTTCATTCAAAGGCTTTATGGCTTTTCCTGTAATACCTGGTGGGCCGGTCTCTAGTCAAAATGCCCGGGACGATTTTTTGTCCCAGTCCAGCCCTGGTTATTAGTGTGAGTAGGACGGAGCTCAAGAGCAGAATACGACACAAAAGGAAGGAAAGGTGGCAAAAGCAATGGGAGGAGGAGAGGAAAGGGCGATGGTTGTTCAACAACCAAAGTGGGGGAAATGAGAAGTACAGGACAAAACAGGAGAGAGGAGACGATTATCTCGACTGAGATTCGGACACACTGGCTTAAATAGCACATTATTTTTAATAGGTAAACACTGTACAGGGGAGTGTGACTGCAGTAGGGAACAGGAAACAATACAACATGTTTTATTGCATTGTCAGAAGTATGAAAGGAGACAACTGATCAAAAAGCTGGACGATATGAAAGTGGAGTTGGACTTGTTTGATTTATTCCGCATGAGCTCTATAAGTGAAAGCTATCAGGCTGTATTTTGGTTTTTAAGGCAGACCCATTTGTTCGGGAGAATTTGAATATTTTATTTTATTTTTGTCATTTCGGTCCACACTCCACACCAGTGGCGGCGGTAATGCACCATTTTGCTGTTTGCCAACCGCCAATAAACCTATACAGAAGAAGAAATACAACCGGAAATCGTTTACAAACACGAAGTTTTTGTTTTGGTGCCATTTACACCCTACAGCTGTAGAAATTAGTTTAACTTGTAGTCTACTAACTTTTTCTATATCTATACACCGTCATGCCTTTTGGCCTTCGAAATGCCCCTGCCACATTCCAACGCCTTATGCACATTGTCTTAGGTGGTGTCACAAACTGTGAAGTGTACTTAGACGACATTGTAGCCTATTCGGAGACTTGGTCAGATCACCTTGGAACACTCACGGAGATTTTTGAAAGATTAAAAGAGGCATCCCTTACCCTAAATCTTGCCAAATGTGACTTTGGTAAGGCCACTGTGACTTATCTAGGGAAGCAGGTGGGTCAGGGACAGGTGCGCCCCCTGCTGGCTAAAATCCAGGCTATCCTAGATTTCCCTGTGCCTCGCACTAGACGTGAGCTTCGCCGGTACCTTGGTATGGCCGGCTATTATCGTGGCTTCTGTAAGAATTTTGCAGATGTAGTTGCACCTCTCACTAGTCTCACAAGTGTGTCAAAACCATTCGTATGGTCCCCCACATGCCAGAATGCTTTTGAGTCTGCCAAAGCTCTCCTCTGCAGCACACCAGTACTTGCCGCCCCTGTTTTCACACATCCGTTTAAACTTGAGGTGGATGCCAGTGCCAACGGTGCAGGTGCGGTGCTGTTGCAGGAGGATGGGCAGGGTGTTGATCACCCGATTGGTTATTTTTCAAAAAAATTCAACTCCCACCAACAGAAATACAGCACCATTGAAAAGGAAGCTCTCTCTCTTTTGCTTGCTCTACAGCATTTCGAGGTCTATGTCGGTTCCAGTTCAGCACCTGTCATTGTGTACACAGACCACAACCCCCTCGTGTTTTTGACCCGAATGCAAAATTCTAACCAAAGGCTCATGAGATGGTCCCTCTTAGTACAGGATTTCAATCTGGAGATCCATCACAAAAAAGGGACAGAGAATGTACTGGCAGATGCGCTGTCACGTGGTTTTCGAAACCCCTAAGCGCCAAACATCTTTAGGGGAGATGTTTGGTCTTGGGAAGGGGGGTGTTATGGCCCGTCCATAATCTGTTTTGGTGGCTGTTGTTGTCTGTGCCTTTAAGTCTTTGCAGGTCCCGGAGTGGATGAGCTGACGGCTGCTGATTGGTCCCCTGGCCATGTGATCTTCATTCAAATCCCTCACCAGCAGTTGTCCCGGGGCAGCCACTGACAGCAGCAGCAGACCTGACCCTGGCCTCCAAAACCTGAGACTTTTGTGCCTGTGACTTTGTGCGACTTTTCGGAGTTTTGTATATAGTGTGTACATTAGTTTTCATTGTAAATAGCCCATTGTAAATAGCACTGCAACAGAAGGGGTGAGCTGCCTTATTGTTTTTCCTTGCACTGTTTTCTCCTGTTTATTTCAGTTAGGGAGTTAGGTAGTGATGGGCAGATGAAGCCCCATGAAGCACTGAAGCTTTTCATCCAATTGGTTCACCCCAACGCGAAGCTTCATGAAGCTTCATTTGCTCTAGTAGGACACCTACTGGACGTAAAAATAATAGCTGGCATGAATTTGAAGAGTGTGGCCTTTTGCACACAGCCTGTAAATGTCAACAACAAAAGGAGTGTGTAAAACATGTATATTGTAGTGATGGCAGTATACTGTGTATATTTATACTGGCAGTATGGAAAATGATTATTTGGAAATGCTTAAAATGGAAATGATCATTTACTGTGAGGTGAGGTGTGGTTGGGGTGTGGACAGTAGTTGTGCTTTTGTAACGTTGAGGTATGGACAGCTACACACTGAGGCTTTGAGCCTCAGTCCTGCCTGTTCACATTTTATTCTGTAAAAACTAAATTTTCACTGCTTTTATGACCTTTTTAGTGGGGAGAACATAGCTAGGATTTAATGATTTAACAAATCTTTTGAATCCTTTGTCCTCCACAATGCTAAATGGCTGGGAGTCCTCAATCACCATGGTAACCAGGTCTTCATCTATTTGAGATTGTTCTCCTGAGGAAAGACAATAAAGACAAAGCACAAATATAAATATCACACACGTAACTTATAACAGCTGTATAATATTGTTATATCATTTAGTAACATTACTGCATGCTATATTATCATTGCATTTGATGGCTCACCTGGTCTTGCTCCACAATCGGTGTCCCCTTATTCTCATGCAAAGCTCTGTAGTGCCTAAGCATGGATGAGGTGTTGTTGTTATATCCCAGCTCCCTGGCACATAGCAAACACTTCACCTTGTACAAAAGTCAAGACAGCTCAACATAAATTGTATTGCACCATCAGTATCATGAAAATACATCTTCTGTAGAAATTTACATACCTTGTTGGGAGGAATAAGATCAAAATGTTCCCACACAGGGGAGGACATCCTCCTCTTCTTAGCTGGCTCCATTCTCTCCTGACTTTCTCTCCTCACTCTCATAAACCTCCAAACGGTCTCCAAACTCTCACTAACCGCAACTCTCCATCAAACACCCACATTTTTGAATGAAGTCTGAGGGGTTTATATCGCTGTCATACTCGCGGCAAAGTTCGAACCACTTCATGAACCAGTCACGTGGTACAGCCGGGCAGCGAGGCTTCGGACGTCATCATTTTCAGCTCCTCCCATAAATGAAGCAAGCCTCGATACGCGCTTCGCGGAAACGCCCCCTCCATTACTCGACACACGCTCCGAAGCCTCGATACAGAACGTCACATCACTAGAGTTAGGTGTAGCGCTTGTCTTTTGTTTGATGTTTGATTTCACATAGGGTTTTAGATAACACCTCCTCCTGACTTAGCTTGTTTTGTTTGTTATTTTGGCCTTTGTTCACCCCGGAGTTTCATTTTTGCAGTGTAGAAAAATAAACCACGATTCACTGAGAAATCGGTTTCCTTGTGTATGGTTTTGGGGACCAGGGCGGGGCAATTCTTTCAAACTTGTGTTGCGTTCCTGTACCCCTAGACGGGGGCGTAACAGGATGGCTTATCGGGAGTTCCGAAATCATCCACAGTCACTTTGACTTATATTCAGCCTGATAGCTAAGGCGGAGGATAGCTTCTGTAGCCATAAGCGCTAAAGTTAAGAGACCTGTCGGACAGTGAATCTTTTAAAGATGTTGTCAGCATCAGAGTGTTTGTGGTTGTGTCTCGCCGCTCTGATACTATCTGCATCAGCTGAAGGTGAACCAGGTAAGGATGCCAATGCTAATTTTTAGTTTACGGATATAAGTTCGTAGTCAGACCCAGCATTCATACTACTTAGCTACCTTAGCATAAGTTAGCTAAGTAGTATGAATGCTGGGTCAGACTACATGCTTTCATGTCTTACTGAACTACTTGTGCAAATATATTTGTATATATTTTAAACTTTACATTTTTATATAAGTGGCTTTCTTATACTTGTGTCACTAAAAACTCAACCTTAAAGGACACATTTTGCTTAAAAAAGAGTTAAAGCCTCGCTAAACATCATCATCATCCAGTTTTAGTTAATTAGTAAAGTTAACTAAGATAAAAAGCCGCCTGCACTGTCAGATGCATTTGGAAGGTTGACCTAAAGTCTTTCAACTCTACTTTCACTACCTCTCCTCCTTGCACCTTCACTGTTCACACCTGTCTTCATCTCATTCAGGTGTATTCTGTGTGGTGTAGCTTCTAAACCGGCTAAGAAATATTTTAAAGAGAGGAGTCCTTTCTAAGCCTCCTTACTTAGGTTATAACAACATAACGAATCACCTTCACACATGCAACAGGTTGCATTTACAGCTGAAAGCGACTTTGACTGTAGTGAGATCAGAAAAGAGAGAGTGATGCAAAACAGTAATGCAGTCGTATTACGGCATTTTTATACCTGAAAGTTCTGAAATCATCTTCACTGTAAAGTTCTTATGAAACACTTTTCAGGAGTGCAACGGCAAGTCAGTAATTCTATTTTTATCTAAACCTGTAGAAAAGGACGGTGAAATGTTTCTGTAAATGGAAGAAAAATTGAACAAATGTTCAACTACTCTGAAAGTAAGCTTGAAATAGATCTGGTCTCATTGTTGTCTTGTGGAGAACTTTCTTGGCTAACATTTGCTTAAATGTACTTTAGTATAATTATTTTAAAAAATAATAGCCAGCAGCCAGGCTATTGTTTAACATACATGTAACCTGTTTTTACAGAGCAATGGAACCCCATTGCTCACTATCCCCATTTGGTCCCCATTATGATTAAAAAATGTTTTGTCCTTCAGGTTCACGGATCAAAGTGGTTGTACTAGAAGGAAGTGACGCCATCCTGCCTTGCTCACTCAGCACCAAGGAGAACATTGAACAAGATCTGTTTAACTGGAGGAAAGTTGATCCAAATAAACAGGAGGTGTTCAGGTATGATGGAGGCAATCATTACTATAACGGCCTCTCAGGTCAAGACGAGCACTTCAGAGGACGGGTGTCACATTTTCCACTAGAGCTGCAGTTTGGTAACGCCTCCATCATCATCAAAAATACCGTGGTGACTGACAGTGGAAACTACACCTGTGATATACGTCTGCAACAAAAACAAACATTCAGCACTGAACTTGTTGTTTGTGAGTATTTTAGTTTTAATGCATCTTGAAAAAAAACCTTCTCTAAAAACTCATATTTTAATTTTTTTTAAATGTTGATGTTGTTTTGTCCACACTCAGTTGTACAGTATGTGGAAAAACACAATACAAATTCACTCCTTATACACTAACATTTGCTTAAATGTACTTTTATTAAACAGTGTGTGCAAACGCAGCAACAATTTCATTACAAATTCAAATTTGCATGCAGACTTAGATTACATGTGAGATGGAAATAAAGGCTAACAGTGCAAAAAGGGTCTCTGCTTTAGGATCATAAATTCAAGTCAATCAAACAGTCAATGATTAAGTTTGGATCAAGAATCTACTTTTAATCATGAGGCTCTGGAGCTAAAAATCAGCCCCAGCGAGGGAGGTGAGTTGCTTGAATAAAGCGATATCGATTCATTAAATCCTGAATTGACTTTTAAATATAAATATATTTTGCCAGAAACGTCAGAATTTCAGGTTAAAGCTCACAAAAGTATTTCTAAAACCACCAAATAGCAAATGAGAGCAGGTAAACGGATTCTGCACAAAGAAGTAAACGCAGAGCGGACCCGACGCATCAGAATCAGCTTTCTCACCCGACAGCACGGACACGCCGTCAGGGCTGAAAGCCGACAGCTCGCTGATTCTGATGTGTCGGGTCCGTGCAGTGGTTACGTCTTTTTTGCGCTCGATTCTGAGCTGCAGAGTTTGTCTCTCTCCAACCAAAATTCACTGAACCAGCAGCAAAAGAAGATCCAAACTACGATTCACATTTGATAAATGTCTTATTTTGCTGTTTTGTTTCCACCACAATAACATCCCACTTCATGCACAGCTCGCGCTCTCTGTGTACTTCAAGAACAGTTTTCCATCTCAAATCTCTGTTTTCTGCATTATTCATTTGCTTATTACCCACCAGTCTGTTTGCAGCGCTGTCGGAGGCGGTCTTTTTTTCTTTTTCTTAAATGTCCTTGGACGACAAAGCCTAATTTCTGCTGTTCAATACTGATGAAACTTATGCTTTTCAAAATTATGCAAAATTGCAGAATATTTTTATGGTTATCTAATAAATTATCAGAATTATAATATTTCTGACTGTCTGAGGCAAAATTGAATCGAATCGAATGGATTATAGAAATCAGTTCTGATACTCAGCCCTAGTGAGCAGCCCAGGCCCGACAGAGTGGATGTAGCTGTGGGTAATAAGAAAAGATGAAAAGAACTATTGATAACGTTTTTATTAAGTTAAGGCCTGATCCGTCTGAAATTCATAGCCAGTGCTCTGAGACGGAGCCATCAATCTTTGAATGCTGAAAAAGCAGCAGTGTATCCAGAAAAGACATTATATGCTGCGATACATGCACTGCCCAAGTGTCCCCTCTCCCCACTGCCTTTCAGCAGCAGGCAGCAGCAAACAGGTCGTCAGAGGAGCCGAGATGATGATTAAGTTTAACATTGTCTACAATATTGTCAAAGAGTGCCAAAGCACTTTAAGCACAAGCACTTTTTCAGTAACTTATCTTTCTTGCAGAACTGTGCTCCGAATAAAGAACTTTGTGTTGACAAGATTGTTAGTTAATCGTTTACAAAGTAATACTGTCCTATGGACAGCAATTTCCCCCAAAAAAAGTGAGCATGTAAAACAGCGGTTTTAAGCAATGCGGTTGAAAAATGTGGGTGTGCCTAACTTTTGTGCTGGTGTACCTAAGAAAAAAAAGTTACAATGCAACCGTGGCAAAAAGTTAGTCTAGAGCCCTGTGTAAAACGCTGCACTCAGGTTCCCTGGCTGTGTGTGGATTTCAACTTACAACTACAAATTTTGACCCGATTTTTCTTGATTGGTCAATGTCATGTCAATCACAAATATATCTATCCAATCAGAGAACAGATGGGTTTGGCTGTTGGAGAGGTGCTTTACTGAGCTTCGGGTCCTGGGAGGGTAATACAGTTTGAAGCTGGAGGATGTCTATGTAAATATCCCATAGGGGCCATACAAGCGAGGTTCCTTAACTTTCAGTAGCTGTTGAAAGGATAAAGTTGTGGTATATCAGTGGTTAGAAATAGCATTATTTAGGGCTGTGCGATATGACCAAAATCTCATATCCCGCTATAAGAATTCTATCGTCCGATAACGATATAAATCACAAAAATGTAACATTTTCTGTAAATTCTGTGAATCTCGACTTGTGTGAAGTGTTTCCAGCTGCGCGTCATGTAGCTGGAGTCGAGTGTTTTAACCGATGCATGAAACGATACATTTTTAGACATAAGTTGTAACGGCCGCCGTTTTCTTTGTATTTATTACACTGCGTGCTGCGGGGAAAAGCCTGCTCTAACGTTTGAGTCTAAGGTTTATTTTTTAGCACCTGGCGGCTCTTTTTTACTTCTCATCCGTAAACAATCTGCTCTTTCACGTGATTCAGTTTATTTTGAAAAGTCTCAACAGGATCCTGAGCTTTATTGTGAAAAGTTTATGTGGAACATAAATAAGTGGACACGCGATGGTGTTACCGTCGTTGTTACTAACGACAACGCATAAAAACAGGCGCTTGTCCCTCCGTAGTGTGGTTACATAAAATATAAGAGAAAGAGAGAACTTTAAGAAATGAATACAGCCACTACAGTGACCATCAGAACCATGAAAAAATATCGCCGTAAACAGTTTATTTTGCGACACCACGAAACAAACGATAGCGTAAAATGAAACGACAGACGTTTTTATATCGTCATCTGATATATATCGTCATCTGATATATATCGTTATATCAAACAGCCCTAATGCTGCGGGCAGCACGGTGGCACAGTGGTTAGCACTGTTGCCGCACAGCAAGAAGGTCCTGAGTTCAATTCCACCATCAGGCCGGGGTCTTTCTGTGAGGAGTTTGCATGTTCTCCCCGTGTTTGCGTGGGTTCTCTCCGGGTACTCCGGCTTCCTCCCACTGTCCAAAGACATGCACTTAGTGGGGATAGGTTAATTGGTTAATCCAAATTGCCCATAGGTGTGAATGTGCGAGTGAATGTGAGTGCGAATGGTTGTCTGTCTCTGTGTGTTGGCCCTGCGACAGACTGGCGACCTGTCCAGGGTGTACCCCGCCTCTCGCCCTATGACAGCTGGGATAGGCTCCAGCGCCCCCCGCGACCCTGAAAGGATAAGCGGACGCGAATGGATGGATGGATGGATATATATATATATATATATATATATGTAGGTCTACCTTACAATATATATATATATATATATATTAGTAGGGTCTACCTTACAAATATTATATATATATATAATATATATTGTAAGGTAGACCCTACAATATATATATATATATATATATATAGTAAGGTAGACCCTACATATATATATATATATATATATATATATATATATATATATATATATATATATATATATATATAATATATATAATTTAATAAATAAGTAGTACTTACACTAATCATTAATTCCAATTATATGATCATATATATTGTAGTTGTATACTCATATAAATATGTATATGTATACTTATATAAATATATATATATATATATATATATATAAAAAATAATATAATATATTGTAGGGTCTACCTTACAATATAAAGCGCCTTGAAGCAACTGTTGTTGTGATTTGGCGCTGTATAATTAAATAACTATATAATTAAAATTGAATTGAAATCATTACTCACCAGTAATATCTCCAAAGCGATCTCTGATCACTGGCTCTCCAAGACAACAATAGGCACATGACATAAATATTTTGTACTAGTAAATCAAATGTGTATTTGTATTTCAATCAGGTGAAAGCAAGAAAAATCAGGTCAAAATTTGTACTTGTAAGTTGAGAGTCACACACAGCCAGGAAACCAGAGCTTTTACACGTAGTATTTTTCTTTGTATCTGTAACCAGACCTTAACAAAAAACAAATCTTTTTTACTCACACAAAAATTCTCATCTGAAAAGACTGATCAAGTGATTGACACAGCCTTACTGTGTTCACAGGTGCAGCTCCGAAGCCACTCATTCATGTCCTGAAAATCACAGAGGACGAGGCGTGGCTGAAGTGTGAGGTCAGAGGAGCTTTTCCAAAGCCTAAAGTAGAGTGGAGGGACGGGGATGGAAACATCCTTCCTGCTGAGGAGCCACAGGTGTCACACACAGGAGAGCACTATAACATCACCCTCCTCACCACGGTGACCAGGACAAACAGCAGCCTCTTCCTCTGTGTAGCCACGCAGGAGGAACTCAAACATGAGACTAAGCATGAGCTCTACGTCGCTTTCTGTGGTAAGATTTGTTTTTTGGCATTTTGTAGAACAAATACCTGTAGTTGTTGTTTCTGACAGAACGCTTGGAAGAACCTACTTTCTAAGTAACTTGTAGGTTTGTCTACGTGGGAGAACTTTTACTGAACCACAGCAAATATTTATTTGATGTTCCTTTTTTAACATCAGAGTTGATAAGGGCTTTGTTTTGACCCTTTTGGAATTTTAAATATTGTGTGACTCTGTTAAATGAAAACCTTAATGTGCTTATTCCTCAAATATTGAATTATTCGCTGTGTGGGATTAAAAAGGAAAAACACACACATGACTGCATTTACCTAGAACTGCCGAGGACGACGTTTTGACCCCATAGAAATTAATGCTTGGTTGCCTAGCAACATTATTGTTTACAGACATTGAAGGCTGCTATAATGTGAGCCAGAGCTCTCTATATGAGATTGATAAATGAAGATATATGGGACTGTAGTTAAATAAAAGATGAATAATTACTGTCAAGCTGAGGATGAGATTTGAGCAGAGCCAGAGCAGGAACGCTGGGACTGAATGTGCGAAGAACGGGTGGCTTGGTGGCTTTGCAGAGCATGCAGCTGAACTGAACAGAGTCCAGAGTGTGGAGAGCTAATCTGAGCTAATAAAGAGTGAAATCAAGAGCAGAATACAGGTTTTCAGGCCTGAGCTGAGGAGGTGAAGCTGCAGACTTAGACTTGTTTGTCAAACCTTAACCAGTGCAGGGGCCTCCCTACACCCTGGACTCCCCGGTCTGCGTTGTGTGATCTTGTGATTGATTGGGGTGCACTGTAGAGAGACCAGTCGGACACAGGCGTTCAATTTGTGGCTCGGACTGCCGCACCATTTATTTAGACACTGGGGCATAAACCACTCCAACTCTGCTACTGCTGGCCCTTGCAAAGGAATCGCAGTAAACACTGAGCCAAGATGGCGGCCACGCGAACAAGAAACTTACAACTGCGATGTCGTAGTTGTAAGTGAATTATTAAAAACTAATTCAACTAAAACTTCAAGCTAATTTTAAAGCTGTGCTTTTCCTCCATATTTGCTACGAAATTCAGTGGAATCTATGTGAATTTTATTTTTGGTTCGTACATCATTACATGAAAGTCATGAATTGATTTTGAATGTCATTGGAATACCAACCAGAATTCTTGTTCCTCCAGACCAGCTCTATGGCCATTTGAGACGCAGATTACATCAGTAATTTACAACTCCACAACTTTTTTTTTAGTGCAAAAAATACCCCATCAAACAAGCAGCTGTTTTTTATTTTATGTGCATTAAAGTTATATAAAAATGTAACAGTGCAAATGCAAATTCCTCGCTGACAGTTTAACCAAAAGGCGTTTCCAGTGGAAACTCAGCATAACCATGTATAATATCTACAAAACTTAAAAAGAGGTTATACACACACACAATGCGGTAATATTATGTTGAAGCACAGTACGTATCACTCCGCGAGGCTCCGCCTACGACAATCCATCAAGCGGTGCGGCTTCGTAGCTCAGCAAAGTCGTACTAAAAAATTTTGACAGATTTTTGAGCGCCGTGTAGCACATCAAATCGTTTTGGTAATATCGGTAATAATGACGGCCCACTAGCATACTCTACCAAAAATAGTGTTTTGTTGTGTATCTGACGGACGACAGCTAAACCAGTTCCACACCAGTGAAGCTGCAGCATTTTTACAAACCAATTCTGGTTCATCCGTTTCATTCAACGATCCGCGTTCGCCCTTCTCATTCTCCGTCGCTGCCATGCTTTTTCCTCCATGTGCGTATGAAAACAAAGGCACTGCACATGCGCGTTTTACCCATATTCTATCGCGATATTTCATTTTATTATCATTGCCCAACATTACAGTGAATGGTATGATTTGGTCCAATCCTATCATGGGGCGTAGATGATCACAAGAAAGGGATGAAACTAAACAGGAGGAGCTTGTTAATGATCTGAAGGTAGCTGGAAAACAGTCACAGTCACCAACAACACCACTGGTAACACACTGGACTGCAATGGACTGAAATCTTGCAACTACACGACTGTCTTAAGTTTGCCACTGAAAATATAAGTGAGTCAGAGAAGGCTCGGGCGAAAGTGCTGAGGTGTGATAAAACCAAAATCTAGCTTTTCTGCCGTGTTTGGAGGAAGAGAAATGCTGAGAATGGCCGAAAGAACACCATCCCCACAGTCAAACACAGAGGTGAAAACATTCATCTTTGGGGGCTTTTTTTTTTTTTTTTTTTTTTTTGCGAAGGGTACAGGATGACTTCACCATGGGGCCAGTAGAGGGGACCAGGTACCCCAAACCTCTCTTCTTCAGCAAGAACATCGAAGATGAGTAGTAGATGGATGACAATGTCCCAAAACGTATCACCAAGACAACAAAAAAGTAGATAAAGAAAAGGAAAATTAAGATTGTGGAGTGACCTGGCCAGTCTTCAGACATCAATTCTTTAGATAATCTGAGGAGGGAGCTCAAGCATGGAGATGCTACGTGAAAGTGAAGAAACCTGAAGGATTTAGAGTTTTTGTAAAAAGCAGCGGGCCAAAATACCTCCTGAGATGTGTGCAAACGTGATGACAAACCATGAGAAATGTCTTATTATTGTGCTTGCTAGCAAAGGTTTCTCCACCATGTAGTAAGTCATGTGTTGCATAAAATGAAACAACCATAAAGTTTAGACGCTGTTTATTTCTGAGCAAACTTACAAACTCAACAGGGGATTTACCTCACATGCTGTACATGCTGTGACATTGCATAAGCTCATTGAAAATATGCTGTGTTTCAGTGCTAAGTCAAAGCTAAAGGCAGGTTCACAAAATATCAGTGTGTATGAGACAGATTGATCAAAAGATCAATTTGTCAGATGAGAATCTCCAGTGTTTGGTTGTGTTCATTGGATTTAAAGTTTCAAAGCTTTTAGGAGCGTTTCTTTTGAGGTTTATTCAGTTAATTATATGATTTAAATACATTCTCTGCATCACACAAGGTTTTTGTGATGTCTTTCAGGCACATGTGGACAAGTTATCACTGGATGGCTGGGTGGATGGTTCATTGGAATACTAAGTTTTGCTTTAGTTCTGGCTGTGCTTGTGGCTACAGGGACCATCAAAATTCCCTCAGGTAAGTTAAAGTAATTATTTAATAATATGCTGTGTAAAGCGACCAATATGTTAAATATATTAATGAATTGTAACATTAATATTGTATTATTAATTGTATTATTACGAGGGCAATCCCAAAAGTAAGGTCTCCTATTGTTTTAGAAATACAAACAACCATTTATTTTCCATAATATTTACATAATTTGAAGGGTTGACGAATTATTTATTTTTCTACATAATCACCATTTCAGTCAATGCATTTTTGTAGACGCTGTGGCAGTTTTAGAATGCCCATGTCATACCAGCTCGCTGTCATGTCCTTCATGAAGCTTTGAACCTCATCTTTCACCTCTTCGTCAGAGCAGAATCGCCTTCCGGGCAAATGTTCTTGGGGAATTTGGGGAGCAGGTGGTTGTTACTGGGTGCCAAGTCCGGGCTATAGGGTGGGTGATGAGGTTCCAACTAAAGTTTTGCAGGACAGCGACGGCTTGACAGGCAACTTGTGGACAAGCGTTGTCATGGAAAATGCTTACGACAACGCTTGAACCGGAGAAGACATTCCTCTTCTCCGGTTCTGTATTGCCCTTCTGAGTTTTTTTCAGTATTTCACAGTATCTGTCAGCATCTATTCTGGTCCCAGCAGGCAGAAAGTCGACCAAGAATACCCCCCTTTCGGTCCCAAAACACAGGTGCCATGACTTTGTCAGCGGACTGTGTTTGTTCGAATTTTCACGGCTTGGGCGAAGAGGTATGCCACCACTTGTATGATTGTTGTATGGTCTCAGGTGCAAAGTGGAACCCCTGATTTTGTCACCAATGACAATTGAGTCCAAGAAGATGTCCTTTTCATTTGAACAGCAGCGAAGAAATTCACGGGAAGAATCAACTCATTGCCATGGTCTTCTGTCAGCCTTCGTGGTACCCGTGTTGCACACACCTTCCGATATTGCAACTTGTCTGTTAAAATCCTGTGGATGGAGTGAGCATCCAGAGTAATCCGCCGATCTTTTCCTCAACCTTCATGACTCTTGGGGAATTGATGGTCTCCCACTCCTTCGTACTGAAATTCATGCCAAACAACCGGCTGTAAGCTCTCCACACCACCACAGCAAACTGGAAGCTGGTTCCACAGAAGAGGGGCCTGAAAACTGAAGGCTCTGCCTCCCATTCTACTTTTAAATACTCTAGGAACAACAAGTAGG